CGAAACGTTAACTCTGCTTTTTCCTTCACAGATGCTGCCAGACCTGCTGAGCTTTTCCAGCAACTTTGTTTTTGTTCCTGATTTACAACATCTGCAGTTCTTTCGGTTTTTATTAAGTGATTTTTCGGGATGAATTGACAACTTCATAAGTGTCCTTTTCATATCAAATAGTGTGAGGAGAGGAGGAAAAATAACATTTTTAAACCAAACTTGTTGCAAAGAATTTTATACAATACAGTGTATAATAGTCACCTTTTCATCTTACATCTGTCTCTGACCAGAAAGTGCCATTTAGTCATTGCCAAAAGAAGGTGGAACATGGAAAAGAGTATTTGCCTGCCTGTTCATTTTGTTTTTCAGTTCCTTTCATGGTAGGCTGCTGGCTGCATACATTATATTCTGTTTTTACATACTGCCTTGCTTAATATTATTTCCCAGCCTTCTGTTTTGCATCTCAAGATCCTTTGAGGTTTTACACCCACATAAAAACAAGCTTCTGTAGCACATTTTCAGTCAAGAAAGTGCTGTTCTCCATCAGATAACATCGGCAAAAGTGATAATATTCTGTCATCCTCCAGAATGCTAATAAATAGAACTAGAAAATCTTCCACTCTGTCTTTTGTTCAAAATGTTCTGACTTAAATAAAATCTAGGTTTTTATTCTTATTTGGGGCATCGATTGCTAGAGTTCTGTAAATGTAAAAGGAATTGGGAGTCTTAAACTCTTTTAAAAACTCACCTGTCAGTATGAAGAATTTCTATTAACTCGAAAAGTCTTTGGGAGGTTTTCTGGGGTTGTGGGGTGTGGAGAGAGGTGGGGAATGTGCCAGGCCCAGTTCAAGGTATATTAACAAATTAAGGGGAACAGGCCAGCAGGGGGTTTCTTACGGGTTGAAGGAGCTAAAAATAAATTGACATCAGTAGAGACATTAAATAAAAGAGTCTTCATCAGTCATGTGTTCTCAGCTGTGGAATATAAATGTTATCCCTCATGATCCTCAGGTTAGTATTTCAGCCTAGCCAGCCATCAAAACTTACTGTTAATTAGTTGAAACAGAGAAAAAGAATAACATCCTTGGTAGTAAAGTCTTGGCAATATTTTGATATTGAGCAAAAAAAAATTGGGATCCTTCAATCAACCCTCATCTTTTAAGCCACATATTGAGAGATTGGAAGTCCTGAGCACAAAAACAATTACACGTGTGATACTTTCAAATTAATCCCTCTGCCAGATGAATAAGACTGAAAATTCAAACTTTTTTTTCACATACACACAATGACACAATAAGTACCATCTGGAACAGTCTTACATTACACTGGCCCATTAACCACACCATTCTACTCCTTGACATAAGTTGATCAATTAAAACATGTACTCCATCATGTTGGCAGTTTACAGTAAACCACAAGTAACATTTACAGTTAGCTCCCTTACAGCATTAAGGTGACACAGAGTTGCTTGTCACTTTTTTTCAAATTCCACTCTGCCTCCTTTCTCCTGCTTCCTTTGACAGAAGTTTGACGCATTTTTATAATCACATTCCAATATAACTACTAATCAAGAGAAAAATTTCCACTGAAAGCAACAAATGAACCAGATGGATACTCCAATGGATAGGCATTTCAAGTCAAAACAAGTCACTGAGGCAAGATAATTCTGCCTGCTGAAGAATTAGTCATTATTAGCATGTAATATCAATTGCACCCTATGCAGGCCTTTCAAACAGCTGTTGATTCATTGATTTCTTGTGTTTCACAAGATTGCACCTGGCAAATCCCCCAACTGATGGCCCAGAGTTGACTTGTTCTTAAACAGTTATATCTCAACTGATATCTAGTCAAAGTTTAGACCAGGAAAATTTCTTCCATAAACAACTTTGTAAACTATATGAAAGTCCTGCAATTTCAGTCAAAAATCTCATATGCAGACAGCAACAACAATAAAAGTTATACTTATATAACACTTTGAATATAATAAAACATTGCAAGGCACTTCAAACGAGCATTAAGCACCAAAATTAGATCCTGAATATAGATAACAGCAATATAGATAAATTGTCTAAACCTTCGTCATAATGGTTTTAAGGAGAATTTTAAAGGATTAAAGAAGGGTAGAAAGGCAGAGAGGAGTAGGGAGGGAATTCTAGATTTTAGCTTATTCGAAAATCTTCCAAATATTGAAGAAGTTGTTGAAGTGACAGACAGCTTGTCTTCTACATTTCCAGTATGCGCTGGCTTAATTGAAAGCCCAGCTGGTGATATGGGCCTTGTAAATTTTACTCTTGATGCATGTGCAACAATCACAAGCCAGTTTTTTACAGACAGTTTCACAAGCTAATTACACATCATGTACAGCAGAAGTGTTTCCCATGGATTCAAGCGTGAGCCTGCATAAAGCTCCTCTCACACCTCCAACTTTTTCTACTGTCCTACTGAAGGTGCTCACAAATGCTGGGGTGCAAATCCAACGTCACTGTAGTACCCTGTTACCTCCTCTGAATGTTCTTCTGACAGATATTCACCATGACCGCTATCAGTTTGCACTGTTAGCGTCGCCCAAAGATCTAATCTCCTCCAGCCCCACAGACCTCAAAGATATCCATGCTCCTCCAATTCTGGCCTTTGTAGAATCCACAGTTCTAATTGCTCCACTACTGATGGCCATACCTTCATGCATCTAGTCTTACACTATCAAATTCTTTCCTAAAGCTTTTGACTGCCTTTTATCGCGAGACATCAAATACCGTTTAATAACGCTCCTTGACAAATCTTGTTATTGCTGTTGAACCATAAGGGACAACAGAGTCAAACTGATCGTGCTTTCCCCTGGTTGGCCAATGCATCCGATCAGGAACAGGAATCATGGCTGATGTTTCTTTTTTCCTAACCTAGAGGCACTAAGGTGGAATGGATACTCCTAACTGCTGCTCAGGCTAATCTTGGTTTACCTTGCCCAGATTTGAATTCAAAATTTTCATCTCCCTGCAGATTGGTTGAGCCATCAGAAGAGAAAATGTAAATAATTTTCAACATAATACACAAAAATACTTCAGATTAATCTGTTGCAGATTCTATCTTAATGATGCAGTATTGACATTCCTAACAAGGTTAATGAATGACATCACTATGTTGAGAACTGTAATATCGATTCTGACATTTTTCCACTTAACTTCAATAAAAATAAAAGTTAAAAGAGAAGTACCATGCGCTGTTGCTATACTATCACACAAAGTCAAAAATCTACCACCTGAATCTTAGATGTAATGAGCAGAATTTTTACCAGAATCAGTTTTGTGTCAATTTATGGCACGTTTCATGGAAGGTTTCTCTCAGTGAGACATAGCGAGATTTCTCATGTGATTCTCAAATGACTCAGTACCTGTGCACCACACTTCTGTGGCGCCCCACTCGTCCTATCTTCCTTCCTGCCAGAGGTGAAAGTACTCGGTATTGCCAGGATTCCCTGCATCACTTTTAAGGTGTTCCTTGCACCAGGTCAAGGGCTCCCAGCCACAAGCTGTCCTTCTTCATGCAGGTAATGGGATGGGAACCAAAAAAGAACCTCTTTACATTTTAGAACAAAGGTACACAACTTACCTGTCCTTTGCATCTTGCCATCTCAGAATACTGCCTTTTTCTTTCATTCACAGGATGTGGGCGTTACAGGACAGGCCAGCATTTATTACCCATCCATAATTGCCCAGGGGGTAGTTAAGTGTCAACCACATTGCTGTGTGTCTGGAGTCACTTGTAAGCCAGACCAGGTAAGGATGGCAGTTTCCTTCCGTAATGGACATGAATGAACGATGTGGGTTTTTCTAACTGTTATTGTTAGACTCCTAATTCCAGATATTCATTGAATTCAAACTCAGCCATCTGCCATGGCAGGATTTAAACCTGGGTTTCCAGAACATTACCAGGGTCATCGGGTTAATAGTCTAGCAATAATGCTACTGGGCCATTACATCCCTCAATTATGGTCACATCTGTATCCTAGAATGCTGCCTTCAACCCCTACAATGGACTTCACTAACTTCCCTATCATAACAGTGGCCCTATTAAACCCTCCCTTGACTTTCATTAAGCAGACTCCTGGGAATCACAAAGGTCCCTGATTGATCTCTGTGCAGCTCCCCAACTGACGGACTGGGACTTCCGGGACTGGTTAACCTGGACCTGCAATGCTGACGGCAGCCCATTTCCCACACTATAGAGGTATGGACCCCCTGACGCTGAGCCCCAAGTGGCCGGATGTGGCAAATTGTCCTGGTACCATGTCCAAGTCCCTGGACTATTCACAAATGATGTAGTTGACTTGCTGTGCCAGGATCCACTGACTGAAGACAGTCTCTCTAGGCCTGATTGGTGACTATTACTCCCCACATGAGACATGGCTATTTGGTTGAAGGACATGCAATGTGTTTGCTGTATACGCTGCTGGCACATGATACACACCGGTGATGTGGCACAATGCCATACAGCACATGTCCACCATTTTATTGATTACTGCTGATAACCATGACAAACTGCTTGGCTTTGTGCTTGCACTAAACAGCAAAGAAAAACAGAAATATTGGGAGTCTTTTAGCTCTGGCTCAAGGGACAAAACGCAAACAGACAAGACAGAAGTACTGTGTGCTTCTAAGTAACGAGTACTAACAGATGATTCCTGGGACGTACTCTGGTCGACTCCATGAGTTGGGTGCCTGTCCCTGTGTGCAAGTTGTCCTGGCAGCAGCATTATTATAATGGGTGCCGGTGGAGTCTGAAGTGTCAGATTGAAGTACAGAATTACATTGTAAGTGGCTCAGAGATGTGCCATGATGGCACAATGAGGCTGGTACACATCCAATGCCAACGTCCATGGTTGAGTGTACAGACAGTCACAATCCATGAAGCATGTCCTGAGATGTTGGTCACTGCTGTCCAAGCTGGAGGCCCAGAGCTGCACGCTGTGCGCTGAAGTCACCAAGTATCACTTCTGATCTACATGCTGGGAACTGTCAGCATTTCTGTCCACAGTTAGGGTTAGGGAGATCTCACTCTCTGTGGGAAATTGGGAGCCTGCAGTCTGAGGCAGGATTAATAATATATGCATGTTAATGTATGCACATGAATGCAAAAGACCTCTCACCTCTCATTAGCAGGATTCCCATCTCGCCAGTCAATAATTGGTTGGAGAATCAGACTTCTTTCTCTCAACGTCAAAAATTTCAAGTCTCTTTACCGTAACCAATTTTCCCAATTGACTCGAGGATGCCCACATCATTCAGGAGCTGGGAAGCTTCCTCCTGAAGTTTCTTCACTAGACAGCTCAATGGGAGAGAGATCTTGGAAAGGCAACATTTTGATTTAGAAAAGAAGTTCACTGGGGAATGTTCATGCTAATAAGAACTGCGCTATTTCTTTTAATGAATTTTCTACATTCAGTTCCTTTTGTACATCTATGTTTTTTGTTTGTTTTCTAGTGGTCAGTGGCCATTGAATAGTGAGGCTCTTAGAACTAATGCAATGTATCTAGCCTAAAAGGGAAGGAAGGTGAGTTAATGTGTGTCAATGTATTTTTCTCCTGATGTTGGTATTTCTAACATTGTATTAAAAATGAATAAATTTATTCCATTGAATATAACCACAGGCTCTTTTCTTACGGATTATGCATTCACTGAACTCTTCAATTCTCATTGCCCTTTACTCATTACTCATACCCTTTATTCCTTTTTCACACAGTCTTTCCCTTTCATCTATTTCTGCAACATTTTATCCAGGTTTTCCAGCAGTTCTGTGTTCAAGCTTTCCCAGCTTTAATCGCTGAAAGACCATCACACATCTGACTCGCATTTCCTGCAAAATCGCAACTGTCTTGGACTTGCTTAATGAGAAAGTGTCTCATTCTGAACAGCTAAGCCTGTTTTCTGACAGAAATGACTGTATGAAGCCAATAAAACAGCTGGAACTGTGTGACCCACCATTACTGCATACCTTCAGATTGGGCTCGAGCACAAAACTAATTGCCATAATCCTCTGTGTTCTAATGAAACACGTCTGTATGAAATGGCCAAGCAGAAAAATGCCTGCTTCTTCCATTTACCAGGAATATAATGATGGCAAAAATATTTTAATTTTCTCCCTTGACCTTTCCCTCTGAAATTAGTGACACATACTGGGTTACAGTTAACCCAGGAGGCCTCCAGGATTTTGCTCAGTGGGCCAGTTTCCAAGAGCATCTGAATGTTGAATACTACCATGCTATTTAACTACACAGTGCATCACAGCCTAGTCCATGGCATTTTTGCCATTTAAATAATCCTACAGCAGGAGTTATTGGATAGCAATTAGGAAAATGGATCTTGTCAATCAAATGCAAGAGTATTCGCCCAAAGGAGCTTTAAGCAAATTGCTGCCTTCCTACTTCACTGATTGGTTAATTCATTGCAGACCGAGATTAAATTGAGAACTTTCTTCATTAATGTTGCTTTAAACCAGACATCCAGAAATTTTGATGGAACATTTTTGCAAAAGTGACCTCCAGAGGGTGTTTGAATTTGAGAGGAACTCAAATCTGGCCCGGTGAGGTGGTTAGCAGGATAGTGTTCCCTACTAAGACTATCTTGGGCAATCATGCGGTATCTTCAGATATATCCAACACTGTTCCTTTAGACGTAATGGAACCACAACAGTCAATAAGATGCATAATCCCCTTGCAAGTCGTGTTAAGGTCCCAGAATTTCTTAACTGAAGGATAATCAATAAGCTCTTCACTTTGCTTCAATTCATCCTGTAGGGAAAAGATAGACATAAAAATCTTCAACAAAGTATTGCTTCAATAACCAACTGTGTACTGTACAAAGAATTGTAGAACTGAACCCTAAAATTCCAAGTGAATATCTATGCACTGTTCTTGTCTGTTTTTTGTTATAATAAATTCAAGGGGACCACAAGGGCCATGAATCATGTTTGACAATCATTCTGGATGAAATAGGCTTTATTGAAACATAAGAACCATGTGGAGCCAGTCACACATTCCTGCATAGTGGTGCCACTAACCAATCTCATCCAACTAAAACCTCATAAGTTACTCTGGGATTTGTATTTATGATTAAATTGTTTGACTGGGTAACCCACGGTAAAAAGTACTAGGCTGTCCTTCATATTCTCAGCTATTTCGAAGATGATCTGGCAGAAAGTAACATTGCGTGGTTTCTTGTTTATTCAGTCCATACATTCCTATTACTGCTTAGTGTGAATTGGAATTTCTATGTTTATTATTTTATTGAATACTTATGTAAGGAAAGAAAAGATATACTTTTCTTGGAAGGAATGCAGCAAAGGTTCACCAGACCGATTCTTGAGGTGACAGGTTTGTTGTATGAGGAGAGATTGTGTCAACTAGGAGCATGAGAGTGGATTTCTAAAGTTTGAGCAGGTCTATACAGACTGGATGCAGGGATGATGTTTCCTCTGACTGAGAGGTCCAGAATAAGGTATCATGGTCTCAGGAAAAGGATTAGGCCATTTTGGACTGAAATAAGGAGACATTTCTTCACTCAGGGAGTGGTGGAACTGTGGAATTCTCTATCATAGCAATCTGTGAAGGCCAAGTTACTGAATATATTACAGAAAACAAAACTCAAGAGACTGAAAGCATCAAGGGTTTTGGAACAAGAACAAGAGTATGGCATTAGCGTAATCAGCTGTAATCAGATTGAATGGTGCAGTGAGATGAATGGCCTACTCGTGTTCATCTTTTCTATGTTTCTACTTAAAATGAACTAAACAAAATGTTAAGCTGTTACCAGCTTTAGTCTTTACTTCTCTGAGTACTAAGAAAGTGAAATAAAATCCAAGTTCTTAGTTTATTATTGCCATTGCCGTTGGACTAACTAACTAACTAAAATTCAAACAACCAGATATTAATCTGGGTATTATTATTATTATTATTATTATTATTGTTATTATTATTATTATGAAACTAACACAAGTAACTATAAACTAAAGGATAGTCAAATAACTGTTAAATCTTCACTGGTCTTCATTGCGTGAGAGAAAATTCTACATAAAATATTTCTTGCTAAAACTTCCAACTGAAATAGTGTGAATAATAGACAACCCTTTTCTTTTGGATTATTCCTACATGGGATCTGGGTGTCACTGACAAGGCCAGCCTTTGTTGTCTATTCCTAATTGTCCTTGGTCCGATTGCCTCTCTAAGTAATTTCAGAGGCAATTAAGGATCAGCCACATTTTGCGAGTCTGGAGTCATATGTAAGCTAGCCCAGGTAAGATAGCAAATGTTCCTTCCCTAAAGGACATCAGTGAATCACTTGGGTTTTAATAACAGTTGTCAATGGTCTCCGCTATTCTAGATTATTTTTAAATTCTGCATTTTATTGAATGTAAATTTCAGCATCTATCATGATTTGAGACAAACCCATATCCCCACAGCATTAACCTGGGACTCTGGATCACCAGCCCAGTGACATTATCACTACACCATGATCCGAAAACTAGTAGCTAGTTAACTAATTATTAGCTAACCAACCAATAGCTTCTGGAGCTTTATAATACTGGCTAATTCTTTGCATTGAACAACACAATTCCCAACAATGTAGAAATTGGCTTTGTTCTTCTTGCCAATCTACTTTTCATAATGAAGTCCTATAGGATTTGCTTTCAAGATATTTGCCAGCATTGTTAACAACGGGCATATATAGTTGTAAAATTGTAGTTTAGGAAATGAAATTTAGGGAATTCTAGTCTAGGAAATATTTCCCATCCATGGGCACAAACTATTACATGAGTGGCATGTTATTTGAACCATTTGAATAGTTCATGTACAAATACAAACATCTTTCCCCCCTTATAATTATATGTAAATTATACACACGCCAAGTTCAGAACATTAAAAACCCTTGAGAAAACGGGGATTGAATGAGATTTTTAAAAATATATCTACTTTGGTATTGTTTAATCAGACAAGAACTGGAAAATGTCCCTTAATTGTTCACGTTGTCAAAATGGAATCGCTGAGTCATCAGGCCAGGAAGGTCTATTTGCCTGAGTTGGGGAGACCAGTTCATATTAATGGAATAAGCAGATTTTCAGCTCCATTGTTATTCAGTTTATAACCTACCTCGGTGTAGTGAAACTTAGTGAGAGGCTTCAAGTCTTTGCAAATTTCCATCTTACAGTCATTTTTCTGCTAATCCTCCCCTTGCTTCAAAAACATAGAGATATGAAAACAAAAGCCACATAGAGAAAAAAAGAAGTTCATATTAATTATAATAGAATATAAAGGATTAAGGGGTGATTTGATTGAAGTTTGCCATATATTAAGAGAAACTGATAGGGTAGATAAAGCAAACCATTTCTAGTGGTTGGGGAGTATAAGACAAGGGGCCATACCAAAAAATTAGAACCAGACCTTGAAATGAAGAAACACTAAAACAAATTGATTGATTTAAAATTTATATTTGACAATTTACAGAGTTTGGTAGATGTTTTTTATTATTGAAATATTTTAAGGGATGTGAAGATAGATATAGAGTTAGGTCAAAGGTCAGCTATGATCTCAGTGAATGCCAATTGAAGAGAATTGCAGTGTTAAACATCCTCCTCCTGTTCCTTCAAACAATTCAGACTCGGCCCTACCTGATTATAATATAAAAGCCATAGTATATCATACTTTATTTTGGATTCCTTAACTGAAATTACAGCTGCTGAATTTTGTTACTGGCCACTCTTTCAGTGAACAATAAAGCATAATAAAGAAAGACTCGTTTTTGACTCTGGTGATTTTAATGTCTGCAATTTGCTGTTTCAAGATGATTGCAGTGTGTAATTCAATTTCTTTTAATGATGCTCCATTAAAGTCTTCTACAATGCTTCCCTTGGGTAAATGTAACACGGAACTGACATAAATTTTGACCTAGCAATGTCTGGCATTCCAGAAATCATTGCAAAAGGATTAACTGACTTGATTGGGTCTAATTGCATGAACTTTTTCATTTGCTGAGAAGAAGTTAATAGTCATTCTGTAGTCTTTTTTTCCCACTGATGATATTCACAAAAAATTTCAATGTTGGTTTTCTGGACTTGAGTTTTACAAGTTAAATCTAAATTGGTTGCAATTGTAACACAAGATGATGTGTGGCATCCTCCCATTAAATAATTTTCAGATTAAACTTTTTACAGAAAATAAACAGGTTCTAAAAATATAGAAATTGTTTACCAGCAGGAAATGTGCATTTGCACTTCTAAAATTATTTTTACATTTTTTCATCTGGTCACCGATCCTTATTGGTGATGGCAAGCCATTGGAAGCCACCTCAGTAAAACTCAATCCTGGCTTCACTTTGTCGGTAACTCATAGGAAAATGTAGATTTAAATATCATTCCAGAATTTGACCAGATTGTGAGAGCTGACATATTGTTGGTACTGAGATAGTGCTGAATTGATATAGATGATATCAGTTGGATGTGCCAATAAATCTCCAGCTGTCTGCTTTAAGTAAGTGTTTGAGGCCCCATGATATTATTTA